CCTCTTTCATTTCCGATATTATGTATTTGGGTCCTACCCCTTTTTGTCTTGATGATGTGCATAAAGGTTTGTCGATTTTATTTATCTTTTGAAAGAACCAGCTCCAAGATTGGTTGATCTTTTGAATTTTTCTTTTCTTCTGTATGTCATTCAGTTCTGCTCTAATCTTGTCTCTCCTTCCTTCTACTTGCTGTGGGATTTATTTGTTGTTATTTCTCCAGTTCTTGAAGTTGTAATGTTAAGTCTTTTATTTGAAATATTTCTATCTTTTTTAGATAAGACTGTATTGCTATAAACTTCCCTCTCAGGATTGCCTTTGCTGTGTCCCATAGGTTTTGGACTGTTGTCCGTTCATTTTCATTTGTTTCCAGAATTTTTTTTTTTTGTTTTCTTCTCTTATCTCATTATTGACCTATTCATTGTTTAATAGAGTACTGTCCAGTCTCCATTAGTTTGCAAGATTTTGAGGTTTCTCTTTGAGGTTTATTTCCAGTTTCAAGCCATTGTGGTCCAAGAAAAAGTTTGGTATTACTTCAATTTTCCTGAATTTGCTGAGGTTTGCTTCGTGTCCTATCATGTGGTCTATCTTTAAAAAAGTTCCACTCGTATTTGAAAAGTATGTGTATTTTGCTTCTTTGGGTATAAAGTTCTATACATGTCAGCTAAATCTATTTTATTCAGTGCGTCATTCAGCTCCCCAATATCCTTGTTGATTTTTTTTTTTTTGGAATATCTGTCCATTTTTGACAATGGGGTGTTAAAATCCCCTACTATCAGTGTGTTGCCGTCTATATCTCTTCTGAAGTTGCCTAAGATTTTCCTTATATATTTGGGTGCCCCTCTTTTTGGTGCATATAAGTATACATTTTTTATGTCTTTTTGATAAATTCTTCCTTTAAGTATTATGAAGTGTCCCTCTGGGTCTCTGTTTATGGCCTTCGTTTTGAAATCTATTTTGTCTGATATAAGTATTGCAACCCCTGCTTTCTTCTCTTGCCCATTTGCTTGGAATATCTTTTTCCATCCCTTGACTTTCAATCTGTGTACGTATTTTGCTCTCAGGTGGGTCTCTGGTAGGCAGCATATGTGTGAGTCATGTTTTCTTATCCATTCAACAAGCCTGTGTCTTTTGATTGGGGCATTTAGACCATTTACATTGAGAGTTATTACTGATAGAAACCTATTCATTTTTTTCTCCTTGTACCTGTGTTTTTCTCTTTCTCACTCTTTTCCTTCATCTTTTTAAGCCAGTCCCTTTAGCATATCTTGGAGTGCTGATTTGGTAAAGATGTATTCTTTTAGCCTTCTTTTGTCTGGGAATCTCCTTCTTTCCCCTCCTATTTTAATTGAGAGCCTTGCTGCGTAGAGCAGCCTTGGTTGTAGGCCCTTGCTTTTCTTTACTCAGAATATTTGTTGCTATTCCCTTCTGGCTTATAGTGTTTCTGTTGAGAAGTCAGCTTCTAGCTGTATCGGGGCTCCCTTGTATGTTAGTTTCTCCTTCTCCCTTGCTGCTTTGAGGATTCTCTCTTTGTCTTTGATAGTTGCCATTTTAATGATGATGTGTCTGGGAATGTGCCTCCTTGGGTCCCTCTTGATTGGGGCCCTCTGTGCCTCCTGAATCCAGGAGAAATTTTCTCTCCTCAAATTGGGGAAATTTTCCATCATTACTTTTCCAAGGAGGTTCTCTATCCCTTGCTCTTCTTCTTCTCCTTCTGGTATCCCTATTATATGGATATTATTGTGTTTCAGGTTGTCCTGCATTTCCCTAAATGCTTCTTCATTCCTTTTGAGTCTTTTTTCCATGTCTTGTTCTTTCTGGGAGCTTTTTTCTATCTTATCCTCCATTCACTGATTCAATCCTCAGCTTTATCCAGCCTGGTTTTGATTCCTTCTCCTGTGTTCTTCAATTCAGTAATGGTATTCTTCATTTCCTCTTGTGTCTTCTTGATAGTTTCTATGTGCTTTTCCAGGCTGATATAGTTTGCTGTAAGATCCTGATAGTTTCTCTGCAGTTTCTCCTAGTTATCTTTGAGCTGACTGAGCTCATTGAGCTTCCTTAGGACCATTGTTTTGAATTTAATATCTGATAGTTCCCTTGCCTCTATTTCATTTAGCTCTCTCTGTGGGGATTCCCCTTTTCCACTCATTTGGGGGAAACTTCTTTTTCTTCCCATTTTTGGGAGAGTCTATTATGTAAGTTATTTATTTATTTATTTGTTTTTGCTTCTGCTTCAATTGATACATCTAGATTTCCTGACTCTGTCAATTAAACTTCTATGGTAGAAGTCGGTTCTTTTATTTGTTTGTTTGTTTGTTTGTTTTTCTTTACTTTCTTTCTGAGTCTGCCTCTGATGGTGACAATTGTTGACCCTTTCTGACCTTGGGTTGTTTGTTTGAGCCTTCTAGGAATCTATTGTCTGTGTCTGACTGCTGCTTTGGGCAGCTCTGTGACCCCTTTGGTCAGGGATTCACTATTTCTGTGTATCACTCTGCACTCTTGCAGCGGTTCTTTGAGCGCGCTTACCCAGTCCCTGGGACCAGCAGTCCTACCCGACCTCATGCTTGCCTGGCTCCAGGTGCGCGCCCCAACACTGGTCCATTTAGGGTCTTCTATTGTGTGCTTTCCCCACTTTTGGCTCTTTGGTGGCGTGGTATGACTGCACAAAATGGAGACTAAGGAAATGGGAAAAGTCAACTCTGGGATTCTCTGGTTAATCCTTTCTCCAGTCTCTCCTGAAGAGTCTCTAAGCTGCTCTGGGACCTCTTTGGCTAGGGATCTACTATTTCTGTGGACTGTAATTGCGAGCCTTCTGGCTCCCACACCGCTTCTGCCTATTTGGGGGCATGACCTGCCTGTGCAAATGGGGACTATGGAATGGGGAGGGACTCTGCTCTGGGGATCTCAGATAATCCTCCAGTTTTTTCCCCAACCTATCTGTCTCCAGTCTCTCCTCAAGGGTCTCTATGCAGTTGTATGTCTCCTTTGGCCAGGGATCCTCTATTTCTTCCAACCAGTCTGCACTCAATCCGCATGCCCACACACTGTGTGTGGAGCACTCAAAAGGCAGGTTAATTGATTCTCTTATGCCTGGGCCAGGTGGTAGCTGCAGAGTGGGCGGTTAGTTATGACTGGGGCTCCACTGGCCACCACCTCTGTTCTCTCCACAAAGTTTTCCTCTCCAATCTTTCCTCTGGCACCTGCCTCCTCTTCCTGCCGCCTCTACCCAGAGATCAAGGAAGGCGGCTACCACTGCAAATTTTTGCGTTGACCCTTTAAATGTCTCTTTGCATCTCCAGCCACCTGTCTCTGGCAGAGAGCGCCCCAAAGCTTTTAGGGGTTGCGTTTTATCTGTGCATTTTCCTAATTTCTGCTGCTCTAGTCTAAGGATCCCTGTTTATGGTTCAGACCCTGTTCTTCTCAGGGGGATCTAACTGGCCATTTCAATATCCCTGGTGCTGGTGTCCGTGGGCGCCCAGCCCACACTCTTGAGCCTCCACCACACTTCTAACCCACTGGGATGTGTTTAGAGTTGAATCCACTGTTTGTCCACAGCTCCTAGGCTCCTCTCCCTCTATTGCTCCATTGTTTTCCAGGTGATTTCTCTACTATTTAGTCATAATTCCAGTTTGGTCTTAGGAGGAGGTCAGCGTGACTCCCATTCACTCCGCCACCAACCTTTCCTACAGTTTCTACCTTTTTAAAATAGAATTTTAAAAATGTACCTCTGTAGAGTTGTTGGGAGGATTGCATAAATTAATGTGTATATATAATGTACACTGTTGGTACCCGGCCCATTTCCAAATTTCTGCATACTTTGCAACCTTCAGCATAATATTGCATTTGGGCAGTGGAACTGCCTTGACAATTTGAAGAACTAGTAATGACTGAGAGTTTTACCATCTCTGCTGAGGGTTGACTGAAGGCAAGGGCTGACAGTGTGGGGGAATAAAGGCCCAGCTTCATTTTCCCAAGGTAGGATAACCTCTGAAGTATAATTTCTTCTCCAGCCTTTCCTTTAGGATCAGGATGAAGCTGGGAATTGAACCCTTTTGTGGCTCCTTCCCATTCCTTGTCCCACTTCCTCTACTCTTACTGTTTTGTACTTGGAGCACTTCCTTAATAAATCACCTAAATTCTTGCGCAGTATCTGCTTCTGGGAGAACCTGGCCCAGGACAGTATGTGAGTGAAAGTGCTTTGTAAACTCTAAATAGGGTAAGCATATCCTGGTTTACCTATAACAGTCCTGCTATATGCCTGTTGTCACGGTGTAGTTATTAACAGTACCTCCTATCACTTGCAAAAACATGAATTTTATGGTAACCTTTAGCATGAAGTATTCTAAAGATACTTGGTAAAATAGAAAGTGAAAATAATTATGACAACAATAGAGCTCAGTCAAGCAACAAATTTATCTAATTTTTCTTCAATCAATGAGCTGTTTAGCATCGCATAGAAATTTCAAGACTGAGTACTGTGATTTTTCTTATCTTTTTTAAGTTTTATTAAATTTATTAGGGTGACATTGGTTAATAAAATTATATAGGTTTCAAGTGTACAATTCTATATCATTTGTATGTTGTTCTCTGTGTTCATGACACAGAGTCATCTTCTTCCATCACCATTTATCCCCCTTTTACCCTCTCCCACCCCCATCCCTTCTTTATGGTAATCACTATACTGTTGTCTGTGTCTATGAGTTTTTCCTTTAATCCCTTCACCTTTTTCACCTAGCCCGATAACCTCTTTTCCCTCTGACAGCTGTCATTCTGTTCTCTGTAACATTCCAAGTGCGGTATGCTTCTTACAACCTATAAAATGGATATAAGAAAACAGGCTTACGGGATTGCTGGGGGCAGGACACCGAGGATGAAACCCAGGGCCTTAAAGGCTGAGTCATGTGCAAGTGGGCCAGAACCGCGGGCCTCGTAAACCTTCGAGGGTTTTTGTGCATCTGTGGAGTGCCCCTGTGCAGCTGTGACCACCACAGGTTTTTGAAATATGAAACCTTCACTTCTCCTGGATGCCCTTTGTTTGGGAATAGCCTCAGCTTCTCCAAGATCTGATCACAGCCTGGATGCACATTGGTACCAGTGGAAGACAATGAACAGGAGACTGTATGATGTGGATGAAGAAGGATGGAGGAGAGCAGTGAGGGAGAAGAATATGAAAATGATTGAACTGCACAACTGGGAATACAGCCAAAGGAAACATGGCTTCACCATGGCAATGAATGCCTTTGATGACATAACCAATGAAGAATTCAGGCAGGTGATGAATGGCTTTCTAAACCAGAAGAAGCGCAGGAAGGGGAAAATGTTCCTAGAACCTCTCTTTGCTGAGATTCTCTCATTTGTGGATTGGAGACAGAAGGGCTATGTAACTCCCATGAAGAATCAGGCCCAGTGTGGTTCTTGTTGGGCTTTTAGTGTAAATGGTGCCCTTGAAGGACAGATGTTCCAGAAAACTGGCAGTCTTATTTCGCTGAGTGAGCTGAACCTGGTGGACTGCTCTCACTTTCAAGGCAATCAGGGCTGCAATGGTGGCTTAATGGATAATGCCTTCCAGTATGTCAAGGAAAACAAAGGACTGGACTCAGAGGAATCCTACCCATATCTTGGAAGGGAATCAAATACCTGCAACTACAGACCTGAGTATTCTGCTGCCAATGGCACCGGCTTTGTGGATATCCCTCAGCATGAGAGGGCCCCTATGAAGGCAGTGACAACTGTGGGGCCCACTCTGTTGCTATTGATGCAGGTCATTCATCGTTCCAGTTCTATAATGAAGGGATATACTATGAACCAAACTGCAGCATCAAAGACCTGGATCACGGTGTTCTTGTGGTTGGCTATGGCTCTGAAGGAGGAGAATCAAACAACAATAAATTTTGGATTATCAAGAACAGCTGGGGTTCAGGATGGGGCATGAATGGCTACATAAAAATGGCCAGAGACCAGAGAAACCACTGTGGAATTGCCACCACGGCCAGATATCCCACTGTGTGAGCTGATGGACAGTGATAATAGCAGCCTTAGGGATGGCATAGCCAGAGAAATTTTACCTTAAAACTGACCAAACCTTTATTGTATAATATAAGAAACTTGAATCATCAAGGATCCAAGTTGTGATGTGAATTCTCTGACATATTTAAAAGGGTAATATGTTATCAGTATTTTAATTACTGTTCTAAATAGCTTTATAATGTTGAAGGTTCATTGCTTAATTCTAAGACATTTGAATTTTCATTTATTAAAAGGATATATAAAACTTTACCTTTTACAATAAATTTTAATTCAATATGTAAATTCAATATGTAAAAAAAAAGAATAAGAAAACATTTTGATAATGATGAACTCCTTTAGTTTTATCTTGTCTGGGAATCACTTTATCCGTCCTTTAATTCTAAATGATAGCTTTGCTAGATAGAGTAACCTAGGTTGTAGGTCCTTGTTTTTCATCACTTTGAATACTTCTTGCAAGTCCCTTCTAGCCCTCAAAGTTTCTTTTGAGAAACCAGCTGACAGCTTTATGGTAACTCCTTTGTAGGTAAGTACCTGCTTTTCTCTTGCTGCGTTTAAGACTCCCTCTTTTTCTTTAACCTTTGGCAATTTAATTATGCTGTGTCCTGTTGTGGTCCTCTTTATGTCCATCTTGTTTGGAACTCTCTGTGCTTCCTGGACTTCTATGTCTATTTCCTTCACCAAATGCTATAATCAATAAAATACACTTAAATAATGTACTTTGAAACTAATTGCTTTAAAAGTGGGTATTGGAAAATTTAATTATTAGTACAATTACTTACATATTTTGAAGTAACACAAATTCCAATGAATCATTATTAAAAAACACATATTGTGTGTAAATGGCATTTATGTTACAAAATTAATCAGCAACCATATTAATAACTATGATAAAGATTTTTATTCTCAAAATTCTCAGATTTTATTTATAAATAAGTGACTGGTAAATAGGCATCAATGAGATTCATCAAAGCCTTGTACCAATCCTACAAGAGAATAGAAAGTTCATTTGTGATGTAGAAGAGCATCTTGTATCTCTGTGTAGATGTTTGTTTGCTCTTTGGAGAGGCTGAATAGGGAACTAATATATCAACATTTTTCAAGATAACTGCCAGTAAGTTGCAAAATGTGGTCCAAATTTTAAGAACTATCAATGTGCAAGACAAAAGGATTCTCTTACACAATGGATATGGCCATATCAGGCAGCAAAAAGGTTTAACTACTACCAGAAGTTCTGTATATTTCCCAGATATATTAGTGATTTGTTCTCAAGCAAATGAGGAATGAGTATACAAACTTGGACTGTGCTCAAACTTGGCAAAATACAAATGAACACATAGAAGCCATTCTCCTTCAAGTTACATTGAGTCACATTACCTAAGTCTCTTTATTGTAACATAAGAATTTGTGCTAAATATTTTTAGGGAGACAATTGTTATTAAGAATAAAAAATAACATATATTCTCTAACAATTATTAGCCTCAATATACTGAAAATTATGACTTGATGATGAGATACTTATTCCTTCCAAAAGTCCTTCAACATTTATGTAATGATCACCTATTATGGGCAAGGCACCAGGCTGGGACCATATCAGTGAAAAACACAATACTGTCCCTCATGAAGTTCATAGTAATAATTATGTCCAGGGAGGGGGGCAGGGGAAAGCGGTGGGGGGTAGACAGAGACATATGTATTTGAAAAAATAAATAAATGTCCAATAAAATGTTGCTTTGTAATTCAGCTTGATACCATATTTTGCCATATATAATGTGCTCCTGTGTATAATGTAAATCCACATTTTTGGTCCAGACTTTCAGAAAAAAAGTCTTTTAATTTTTAATTAAATTATTTATTTATATTTAGGTAATTGTTTTTTATATTATAAAGGAATTTTAACATTTATTTTTGAACATATGGTGCAACAATATTTATTTAACAAATAATTACAAAACACAAGAACAGATACAAGGTATTTCAGGTACTACCCATGTAGAATGCACATCCTTATTTTACCCTCGAAAATTTGGACAAAAATTGTGCATATTATACACAGCAACGTATGGTATATGTCTGTGTTTAAAATTTAGGAGGTTTAATTTTTTTAAGATTTTATTTATTTATTTTTAGACAAAGGGGAAGGGAGGGAGAAAGAGAGGGAGAGAAACATCAATGTGTGGTTGCCTTTCATGCATCCCCTACCGAGTACCTGGCCTGCAACCCAGGCATGTACCCTGACTGGGAATCGAACCTGCAACCCTTTGGTTTGCAGGCCAGCACTCAACCTACTAAGCCCAACCAGCAAGGGCAGAGATTTAATTTTTTTAACAGTGATAAGATATACTTTACTTTGTTGAGTCAGAGGATCAGAAAAAATTACTGCTAAAGTACATATCAGACAAACAGGTGCTTTAGAAGTAGAGTTACCTTGAAGTTTATTTGAAATAAGAGGAACAGGTCATAAAGATTACTCTAGGAATACATACTTGGTTCTTTCTTGTTTTTATTCTGTTATAGTTGTCCCAATTTTTACTCCTTTGCCCTTTTTGGTTCAAACCATCCCCTTTTGTCCCCTTTTGTTTTGAAGTGTATTTTGTCTGATATAGGCATTGCGTCCAAGCTTTCTATTGATATCTGTTTGCTTATATATATATATATATATTTTTCTATCCCTTCACTAACAATCTGTGTAGATCTTTTGTTCTGAGGTGTGTCTCTTGTAGAAAATATATATGCACGTTGTGTGTTCTTATCCATTCAGCTACATATCTTTTGATTGGAACATTTAATTCATTAAGTGTAAGGTTATTATTGATAGGTACTTATTCATTACCTTTTCTCCCATACCTCCCTCTCTCTCTCTCTCTCTCTCTCTCTCTCTCTCCCCCCTCCCTTTCTCACTTTCCTTCTTCCCTCCTTTTTAATAGCAGTCCCTTTAGCATCTCTTGCACTGCTGGCTTGGTGGAGATATATGCTTATGGACTTCTTCTGTCTAGGAAGTTCTTTATATGACCTTCCACTGTATTTATTTCTTTTTATACTTTAACATCATTTTATTTTTATAAATTTGGTATGATTATTATTTTTATTATTCAAATAAATTTGTCTCCATTTTCCCAACACCACTTTCCACTGCCCCAATGATCACAACCTCCCACCCACAATACGTCCCTACTTTGGCTTTCTCCATGGGTCCTTGACACATGTGCCTTGATTTGAACCTTCCCCTCCTTTTTCTGTTACCCCATCGACCTTCCCTTTCCTTACTGTTGGTTGATTTTTCTTTCAGTGTTGCTTGTTATGTATCCCTTGCTTCTTTGTTTTGTTGACTAGATTTCACTTACAGGTGAGATCCTATGGCATTTGCCTTTCACTAATGGCTTAATGGCTTAGCATAATGCCCTCCAGTTCCATCCATGCTGTCCCAAAGAGTTGTAGCTCTTTCTTTCTGCTGCACAGTCTTCCATTCCATAATAGTACCATAGTTTTTTGATTCACTCACTTATTGATGGACTTAGTTTGTTTCCAGCACTTGGCTATTATAAATTGTGCTGCTATGAACATTGGGGTGCATAGGTTCTTTTGAATTGGTGTTTTGTGATTCTGAGGATATAATCCCAGCAGTGGAACTGCAGGATGAAAAGGTAATTCCATATTTAGGTTTTTGAGGTAATTCCAAACTGCTTTCTACAGTAGATGCACCAGACCGCATCCCCACCAGCTGTGTACTAGGGTTCCGTTTTCTCCATAACCTTACCAGAACTTGTTGATTGTTGATTTGTTTATGATGGCCATTCTGACCAATGTGAAGTGGTATCTCATTGTGGTTTTAATTTGCATTTCTCTGATGGCTACTGATACTGAGCATCTTATCATATGTCTCTGGTCCCTGTGTAGGTCTTCCTTGGAGAAGTGTTTTATCAGGTCCTTTGCCCATTTTTTAATTGAATTGTTTGTCTTCCTGGAGTGGAGTTATGTGAGTTCTTTATATATTTTGGAGATCAAACCCTTTTTGGAGATATCATTAGCAAATATATTTTCCCATATGGTTGGCTCCCTTTTCATTTTGTTGATATTTTCTTTAGCTGTGCAGAAGCTTCTAGGTTTGATGAGGTCCCATTTCTTTATTCATTCATTTGTGTCCCTTGCTCTACGGGAAAATTGGTGAAAATAATGGCTGCATGGAATATCTGAGAGTGTCCTGCCTATGCTCTCCTCTAGGATTTTCATAATGTTGCAACTTATATTTAAGTCTTTTATCAAACTTTAGTTTATTTTTGTGTATTTTGCATATAGCTGTCTAGCTCTCCCAAAACCATTTGCTGAAGAGGCTATGTTTACTCCATTTTATGCTTATGCGTCCTTTGTCGAATATTAATTGACCATTGACACATAGGTTTATTTCTGGGGCCTCTATTCTGTTCCATTGATCTATGCCTCTGTTCTTATGGCAGTAACAGGCTGTTTTGATTACAGTCACCTTGTAATATAGTTTGATGTCCGGTATTGTGATCCCTCCTACTTTGTGTTTCTTTCTAAAAATTGCTGCAGCTATTCAGGGTGATTTATGCTTCCAATAACTTTTTGAAATATTTGTTCTGTATCTGTGAATCATGTAATTGGAATTTTAGTACAGATTTTGTCGAATCTATAAATTGCCTTGGGCAGTTTGGACATTTTGATGATGTTAATTGTTCCAATCCATGGTCATGGTATATGCTTCCGTTTACTTGAGTCTTTCTTAATTTCTTTCTTCAGTGTTGTGTAGTTTTCTGTGTATAGGTCTTCTACCTCCTTGGTTAAGTTTATTCCTAGTGCTTCATTTTTCTTTTTGCTAGAGCAAGTGGGATTCTTTCCTGATTTCTGCTTCTGGTATTTCATTGTGGGTGTACAAAAATGCCTTCGATTTCTGAATATTGACTTTGTATCCTGCTGTTTTGCCAAATTCACTTATTAGGTCGAGTAGATTTTTGGTGGAATCTGTG